CTTTTGTAAGTAAAAAAATAAAAAAATAAACTTAAACAAAACAAGAAAAAAATCAGCCCAACAGATTCTTAACCTCCTCTCCAATATTCCACAGATTTGCAACCCCATGCKGTTCTCTATTTACTGTCACTGTTTGAAACAGTAACAAAACAGCTCAAATTCCTGAGTCGTGTTGCTTTTCTGCAGCAACAGAGCAACAAAATACGGTTATTTTAACCAGACAAATGTGTTTAGTTTGACTACACAATTTAGCAAACTAAACAGCACAACATACATTTTGAAGACCTGAATAAAAACCATCTACAACAACACATATGAACTGGTTTTTTCCTCACTTCATTGAGCTGCAAAACACAACTTCAAGACTTTAGCATAAATCTAACAAGTCAACAACGCTTTATTAAAAACAGTCTACAGCTGTAAAAACACACAAAGCACCCTTACAAGCCGATTTCTAAAGCACCACTCCAACAAGCCCGAAGTCTTTTATGCTGCTTATATTCAGCAGACTCTTTTTTTTCTACAGTTCAGCCAAATCTGCAAAGAACTGGCTGCGATAATGAGTTAGTGGGCAGACGGTGCATGAAATGGAAATGAGCTGTTGAATTTTCCCCTGGTGCTTGATTAGGGCAGTTTGCCTCTCGTTTAACTTCAGATCATGACAATATGAGGTGAAATTATCTAAAATAAAACAAAAACAATATTAAACGTAAATAAAAACACAGCACCCTGACCTTCTTTGAGTCGTACCGTCACAGAAACTTCTAGTTTACCCACMCTTAGCAACACAAAACCATCCAAGCTTCACACATTCTGATCARTAAAGACACACTCCAGGTTTACTGCTGGAAGTGACTAAATTACATAAAAAGATTTTAAAATCACAAAGACTTCTGAGCAAATTCTGCTCAAAACCAACATGCAGGGGGAAWTTCAGCTGTTAGTAAGCTGATAGCGCCCTCTGATGGCTTTATATTTTACCTCAACACAAAAAGGCTGAAAGAAACATTTGTGTGTAAACTCACCAAGCTGTAGTGATGTCTCAGTGTGGTAATATCCGTCCTGCTGCTTCTTTTTCAACATAGAACACAAATCCAACCGCTCCACTGTCTGGTTTCCAAAAAACCTGCATGTTGCCGAAAGATAAGGGTGGAAAAAAACGAGTCAACAGATGAGCTTCCAACATWATGGAAAACAGCATCCAAACTGTTTGACATACGAGCCAAAATCATTAAACTGAAATCTGTAATTTTCTGTAATTTGATTTGATCTTCTCTTTCAGAGTTTCGTGGTAACCTCAACTTTAAGAACTACAGAAAATGAGAATAAAAAATGAACTACAACAAGCATAAGCAGCATAAATGTAATATGATGATTCATTTAAGTGAAAACAAAACCTTGTAAAACAAAGTGGGTGCACTTTTTTTTTTAAGTTCAACGTACTTGTTTGTGTAGTTGGAGTAAAGGGCTGGGTCCACACACTTTATTCCCTGAAAGAAAAAGGGAAATGTTGGTTCTTCTTGGAGAGTAAATCAGACTTTTTTGGACACTTTTACATTCTCTTGATAAACACGCAGACAGGAAGAAGACGACGACGTCACCTGGCAGGCGCCGGGCAGGAAGAGGCTTCATTAAAGGTCAGAGGGAAAATAAAAAATAGATATGATTCTTCCTCGTCTCTCCCATCCTGGATGAAGCTCATCATATCCATCTCTATTCCCTCTCCTCTTCCTCAAACTTCTTATTTCTTTGTTTTTTTCATTTTATTTATTTTAACTCTCACTGTATTAATCTGATCTCTCCACTTCGTGTACCTTTCTTTTCTGCTGGGTAGTTTCTCCCTTAAACTCTTTACRTCCTTTGTGACGTGAAACTCTCTGAAATGGCTAGAATCAAACTGCATAAAATTAATTCAATCTTATCAGTTTTTCATCTCTTCAATGACCAGTTCCTCCTGTGTGCATACCTGAGACCGTAGTTTCGGCGCTCTGGACAGCTTCATAATAGTGAGGTGGGGTTGAAAGTTTTGACAGTCTCTCTGTAGGAGACCCTGTTCCTCAAAACGGCTCTGCAACAACTCTGCACACACACACACACACACATACACACACAGACAATTCATGTTCATCTTCATACAATATGATTCAGGTACAAAATCTCAAATGCTTTGCATCCTTGTAAAGATGCATCACAGATATGAAATAAAACCTGTTTTAGGAATAAAACAAACCCATTCACATGTAAAAGCAATGCCAGTAAACAATACACATATAACTAATTCCTCCTAGCTCGGCTTAAAAAAAWATATAAAGGGTAAATAAACAGGGTCAATACCAGACAGACAGCCTGCAGATATAAACAGGCAAAGATGTAGACGGAGAGGTTTAGTGGGAAGCTAACGGAGGTATTTTTAGAGGAGGAACTCGGCAGGGAGAGAAAGGTTAGTATATAATCAATAACTGAGGTGGAGAGCGCAGACAGGATGACACGAGGGTTGGGTATCTTTGGTTGCAGCTGAGAGTTTTAATTCCCCGTGAGTAATCTTTCAGGTTAGAGGTATAAAATTAAACTTAGAAAGATCAGATGCCCTCAGATCCTGCAGCCAAAATCAAACTTGTATAATTAGCCATACTGCAAAACCTTAAAGGGATCCATGATTAGTTGTAACATTAGACTTGATAAACATATATTTTAACTATAAAATAAAGACTGTAAAAATGCTGTAGGATGTTTAATTTTTATAATTTTTAAACTAAAAGTTTAAAAATATATTACACGGACGGAGCCATTTTATTTACATGAAAAGCATTCTGGGTTAATGGTGACATGGATAGGTCCTCAGTGCGAGGCTGCTAGCGAGCTATATCCACCCTGAAGGTTAATCTTGGA